TGCATAACATTCTCAAAAATTAATAAAACTATTGTTTTAGAGAAGAAGAAAGGAGCCTGGAGAAATGCATGAGGCCGGGTTGGGAGGGCCCATGGAGTTTTGACTTTAGCCCATGTGATAAGCAGCCGTTAAGAAGCTTAGTCCTTGAGCAAACAGAGGAGAGAGGCGCTGGTCGTCCTGACCTTTAACACGTGTATGGGGAAGCAGTTAACTTATAAAAATCCTTTTGTAACCCAGTTTCTTGAAAAAATACAAGAGTAGCATAGAAACAAATGAACCAAGAGGCGGAGCGTCCGGACCTCACAAATGATCAAATAAAAGAATAAAATTACATATTTGAGAAATTTCAAAGCAGGACAAATGCACGCAGCGTGGCTTTCCTTCTATAAACAATGACCACGTGGGCTTCAAAGCATTTAATGACCTCCCTGAATTATTGAGGCCCACATCACATGGATTCTGGGGGTTGCTGTTGTTAATTTTATTGTGTGTGCACACGTGTGCTCTCGTGCACACATCCGTGTGTGTCATAGCACGTATGTGGAGGTCGGAGAAGAGCTTGTGGGAGTCAGTTCTCTCCTTCCACCGTGTGGGTCTCCGGAGTCAACTCAGGCTTGGTGGCAGATGCCTTAACTCACTGGGCCCCTCACCCAGTCCTGTGACTTTCATGAGGAGGTGGGAAGGGTGCCGGGGATGGAACCCAGGGCCTGGTCTGTGTTCAGAACCAGCCCTCCCCCCCACCCCCAGAAACACCCCAGCCTCTGTGTTTGGAGTCATAGTCTACTCCTTATCCCATCATGAGTTTCTAGAATGATAAAATGCAACTGGATCTGGCCAAATTGACGCAAAGAAACTTTGCTTACTTTTTCCAGGAATTTACAAATCAAACCAGTGAACAAGTATGGAACATTTTCAATTACAGAAAAACAAAATCAAGCCAAAAAAAACCAAAAAACAAAAAAAAAAAAACCAAAACAAAACAAAAAACCCCAAAAAACCAGACCAGAGTGATTTCCAGCCAGCACAAGATAAATTCAGTGTTACCAAAACACAGATTCCCATCTCTTGCTAACCACTCCCCAAATCGCACTCCCCAAATCGCCGTGGCTTATTCTTCCTCTTTCCAGTTTTGCTCTCACGGGCCTTGAAGAAGACTGCTTGTCCCGATTCTGGGGACTTGGCTCCTTTTTGAAGGGTCAGGAAGCACCTAGAGATTCCTGAAAGCTGTGTCCTGAAAAGGCCATGTGCTGTGTCCCGGCCACTCCCAAGCTTCTGCAGCGTTCTGTCTTTGAAGGACAGCAAGCAGGGTCTCACAGAAGCACATCAAAGCTATTTTTCAGGCAGAGAGTAATTAATCTTTGTTCTTGGCACCCTTTGGGACTCTGTCTCCCTTTCTAATACTTTTTGTATTTTGATCAGATAATGTTGCCTCTGCAAAAGCTGTGATCTTCTTGCCCAGGGAGGAATTACCTAAAGAGAAAAAGGACACTGTGCTATTCCTGACAAAGAGCCACTACTGATTCAGTAAGTCATAACCTCTGGTATTTTTCAGAGGCTGGGGTGGAGCACTCTTGTGGACCTGAGGTAGATGGCTTAGGCTGTCAGGATGGAACCAGCAGCGACTGGAGCCACTTCCAGCTTTGGAGTTTAGGATTCTGCTCTCAGTGGGAACTCCAGTGCTGTTGACCTTAGCAGTCCATTCCAAGACAGAAAGCCGACCGACTCAGCCACATGCTAAGGGGGGTATTAAAGTTAGAGCTCTTCCCCTCCCATGAACCTGCCTCCGGTCAAGCAACCACCATAAAATCTTCAAACAAGAGCAAAAATGAAGGGCCGACGATCCTGTCCAATGTTTATTTTTTAAATTACATTTCATTTAGTGTGTGTGTGTATGTGTGTGTGTGTGTGTGTGTGTGTGTGTGTGTGTGTGTAGGTCAGAGGACAACTTGTAAGAGTTGTGTCTCTCCTTACCATGTAGGTCCTTGGGGATCAAGCTCAGGTCAGGTTTGGCAGCAGGCACCTTACCGGCTGAACTGGCCCTAATTTTTTCTAAAATGGCGTTTGTGATTTGCCTTGAGCTTAAAACAGAAACAGAATCCAAACTGGGGCATTCCATCTTGTGGCCATCAGGCAGGAGATGAAGCACAGCTACTATCAAATGAGGCACTTGTGCTGTTTGGTCCAGGTGACCTCCTCCAGGAGTCATCCTCACAGGAGGGGCAGGGAGGGAGACCTTCTGGCTACACTGAGGAATAAACTGAGTCAACTGAAGAACCAAAGCACCCCCATTTCAAGCAAGCCCCTCACCCCAGCCTGAAACAGGCCTGAGTTTCAAGATTCTCAGAGCTGCTGACATAGGTCCCAGGACAAAGTCAGGAGGCTTGAAGAGCCATCTGGTAGCAACTGACTAACCATAGAATGCCCCAATGCCGGAGATGGTCAAAGTACAAAGTCAGGATGTTTGAAGGACTATCTGGTAACAATTGATTAACCACAGAATGCCCCAATGCCAGAGGTAATCTACAAAGTTTGACAAACAACTGGTTAAAACTACAAAGTAAGATAACACGGAAATTCGGAAAAGCCCCTAAAACTTGAACCAATCAGAATTGTACCCGTACTTGCACCCCTAAATGACGTAACCTTGTGATTTTTGCCTTTAAAAACTGAGCTTGCAGAGGGGCGGGCACCTCCTCCAGCCTCCGCTGTATCGGGGTGCTTGACTGAGGTCCCTGCCGCGGCTTGAATTGAAATAAACCTTGCTTTTGCATTTCAGTGAGTTCATGTCTCTGGTGGTCTCTTCGGGGGTCTCACATCCAGGGCACAACATCAATCATTCCAAAATATGAAGAAAATATTCATGGGTGCTCATCATCTTGTAGCCGAGTTTCCATGCTGTTTTCCGGTTAAGGAACTTGCATTTGCATCTGTATTCACTTTTAGTGGAATCAAGCATAGAACAGAATAAAGCAAAAGTCTAACTCTGACGAGGGGAGGATTTTCCAAGGCTCCACAGAGAACTCGCCTTCCAGTCCAGTGGCTTTTAGCTTACTGTAATAAAATGCATTATGTCTAGCTGTGGTAGCCCTGTTCATGAAAGGGCTTCCTTTCTCCAAGCCAGGCAATGCTTAATTACGAGCCCGGTCAGTTCAGTTTGGTCAAGCAGGAACAAAGCGAATGACCCAATAATTATGAACGTGAAGAAGTTTCCTGTCTTCTCTCGAAAACAAGATCATCAGTGCTGACCTAGGCTCTGACAGGACAGGAGGGGCCACGAAAGTGCTAGAAGGGGAAGACACAGTATGCTGCTTTCCGGGCTGGAAACACTCTTGGCCCTCCCTGGTTTAGACCTGGCTGACAGGCTCTAACACGAGATCTACTGGGCGATCTCAGTCTAGGAGGGAGGAGGGAAGCAGGAACTATTGGACTGGGAACAGAGGTGGGCCCCAAGCCAAGGACTGCCGCAGTAGCTTTGCCTCAGAAACCCCGGGACACACTCAGCTCTGTGACCAGCAAAGCCACTTCCCTCCTAACCTGCCTGCACACTTCCTTTCCATTATCTCCATCTGCATCCCTTCCTTTACTGAGGCCTTCCCCTGGCAGGAACTCAGCCGGGGCCAGCCTGGAAAATCTGAACCGTCTCAGGAAACCTGGCGCTGTTGTCAGGAACCGAGTCCGAGAGACAGACAGCAAGCTGCGTATTGTCTCCCGGACGCCAAAGCCGGTCTCATTCTGCCATTATTACTTAAAGTAGAACCCCGCCGCCTCTCCCTCCCCAGCAGACAGAAGTTTCAGGAATCTCCTCTGTCTAGGCTTCCTGAGTCAGAGTTGGGGGCAGGGAGGGAGTTGTGGCTTCTCCAGTGGCTGGATAACCATGTCATGGTATGGGCATCCCCGTGGCAAAGTCCCTACAAGACACCTCCGTAGTCTCTTAAGGTCCCATGGGGCGGGGTGACCCTGATGAGGTGGCCCTTCCATGTGCCTGGGTCTGCTCTGGCCCGTCACAGGTCAAGGTCTGCTCAGCAGAGAGCAGTGAAAAACAGCTGGATGGCGATGGAGGTGGAGAGTGGAGGAGGTGGGACGCGATGTGTCACACCTGAGAAGCTCTTAGTAACAGCTGTGTGCCGGGGGTCCTGAATTCCCAAACTAAGTGCAGGAGACTGGGGTCCCTCTGAGGGCACTGAGAGTTTGAATCCGGGACAAGGGGCTCCTCTGACTTCTGGCACCCTGCTGCTCCTTGTCTTGTAGAGGTAGCAAGCACGCCAGGCTTCCATTACCCTTCTTACATTCTTCCTGTCCTACAGACAGGCTGTGTGGAAGCGGCAGTGTTTATGTCTTTCTGTCCATCACCTTCTCCAACGGTAGAGGGAGGTCGGGTCATTCCAACGTAGGCTTTCTATGATGCCTTAAAAGTGACTATTCTGTGGTTTCATAATAGGTCTCTGAGGACCATTCCAACACTGATATTCCATGATTTTGTAACAGGGAGCTGAATTACTATGAAGGACTGGGTGTGGTAGCACAGGTCTTTAGCACTCAGGAGACAGAGACAGCACAGAGGCAGGTGGATCTCTATAGGTTCGAGACCTGCCTGGTCTACATAGAAAGACCCTGTCTCATTAAAAAAGAAAGAAAGAAAGAAAGTATTACAAAGGTTAAACATAAAAGGGAGCCACATCGTTCACAGTCAGCTAACGACTCTTATCTTTGGGGAGTGAGTCACCGTTGAGTCTCAGTTTTCTGGCATCAAACAGAAATAGCAACAAGGCCTCATACGGCGATGGCGATGGGAGAGAGTGCCTGACCGCCCTGCAAATCTGTACAGCAGCCCGACGCAAAACAGACGCCTTGCTGAAGATTTACACACTTGCAGCGCGCTGGCCACTGAGCCCGGCGAGCACCGAGGAGCTGCGGGGCGGGGCGGGGCGGGGCGGGGCGAAATGGGGCGGGGCTGGAGGGCTGGCTTTGTCCTCGCCCCGCCCCGCCCTAGATATCGCGAGAGGGCCGGCCGAGCTGGGCTTGGGCGTCCGCGTCGCTCCCGCGCTGGGGCCACTCGTCCGGCCTCCTCCGCGGGCCGCGGTCTGCTGTGCCGGCGGCTGAGGGCCGCCCGCCGCGCGGCGTCGGCTGTGGCGTTTGCGGGCATTGTGTCGTGACGGTGACGCCCGGTAGTGGTTTCCGCGACAGCGGGTGCGGCTGCTTTAGCCCGGCCTGGGCTCCGCGGCCGCCTGGAGGGTCTCTGCAGCGCCCACCCCTTCTCCTCCAGGACCCCACGCCAGCAGCGACCCTGAGCCAACAGCCGGAGCGACCGGCAATGGCGGCCTCGACGGCCTCGCACCGGCCCATCAAGGGAATCCTGAAGAACAAGACCTCTGCGGCTTCCCCGGTGGTGGCCTCGGCCGAACAGCCCCGCCGGACCGTCGAAGAGGAGCTGAGGTGAGAGAGAGCCGGGGAGGCCGGCGGACGGGCGAGCGGGCGGCTGCCGGGAGCCGGCCTCGGCCCTGCCCCTCCGGCCGCGGGGTCGGGGCAGGGTCGGGGGGGCGGGGGCGGGAGCCGGCAGAGGCTCGGGCGGCGGAGGTGGCGTCTGTCGTGTTTTTATTTGTTAAGTGCAGGTGCGCGTTGTAAACCTGGCTTTTGAACTTGGTGGCCCTGGGGACACTAAAGAAGCAAATTGAAGTTTCAAAGCGTTAGCTCTTAAGCTTTTAGGATTCGGTACCCTAAGCCCGAGGTAGCTAAAATTCTGCGGCCGAAGAGTTGCTTTCTTGACCCTAAATTTCAGTCTAGGGAGGCTAATGAGATCAAAACAAAATTTAAAAAAAAAAAACATAAACACAAACCCCACTAAGCATCTTCCCGCATTCGACTTGCCAGTTCCTGGTTTATAATCTCCGCACTAAGTGAAACCAAAAATTTAAAAGTCACTGATGTAGATTTAATGGAAAGTTATTACTGCGAAGTATTTTTGTACCTGAAGTTAGAGTTTTGGTGCTTTCTAGTTTTGGGTCCAGTCCGGCGTATCTAAACTCTGAACTGTTTCAGAGAGAAGCCAGGTAGGATGTTGACGGAGAGCATTGTGTGTAATAGTAAATACCTGGAAACCACCCAAGGTCCATTAGTGAGAACTGGTGAAATATTAATTATGGTACATTTGTATAATGGATCAATATACCAGCCTGAGAAGAGGTGTTTTGGCTACAGAGGAAACTACCCAGGGTTCAGTGCTCAATGAAAATACTGTTACAGTACAGTGTCTAGGTATAAGGATACCTCTGGGTCAGACAGCAAGGGGGCTTGGATAGTATGAGTTACTAAATATGTAAGTAAGAACTCTTGCATTCGGAAATAAAGCTTTAGAAAAGTTACTGAAATTTGTAGTAGTAGCGTCCTAAAATGAGGGTGCTGATGAAATCTTAAGACTATTAGAACTAGGGCATTCCTATAATAAGGATCTAATTTAGAATCCTAAGAGTGACTAGCTGGGAACAGATTTAGGGAAGTTCTGTTTCGGATTGTGGCCTGCAGAAACTAGAAAGGGCCTCGGCCTTGCCCCGCACCCCCCCACCTCCGTTCTTCTGGTTTAACTCTTAGCTTTCTTTCACGTGCAACTCCCAACCTCTGCTTGGAGTGGTTGTAGGTCATTGGAGAAACAGAATGCCCGAAACATAACAATAGCAAGAAGATCAAGATGTTTAAAAATAGCCACAGAAGGCACTTCCACAGCTTGAATATTAAGCAGGAGGGATGGGGTTCTCCTTGACTTTCATATTATCCAGGTGAGCTTTTTTCCAACTACCACGTATCTTTTTTTTTCTGCCCGCTTGACTTCCATGCATTCTTAAATGTGATGTACTGTAATCTAGAGCACCGTGCTATAGGTTAGCCTCCCCTGACTCCCATGGTTGCCCGGGATGGATTTACATTCAGATACCCCCCCCCCCCCATTCCACTAAATGAGGCTGATTCCATTAGATAAATTGCTTCTTCTGAAAGAGTTCCTGGCAAGGCAGGTCCACTTAAAAGCTAGTTTATAAGCTAGTTGATTACCTTGACTGTAGTTGTAGCCGTATCTTCAGCAGGCGCTACCAAACTCTAATTCACTGAAGTTTATGATACATAGTTCCAGCTGGTAAAAGATAAGCCTTTTAATAATCACTGTTGGAAGATTATAAAGCAAAAAAAATTCATAGAACTGTGTTGTCATAATTCATGTAAGCAATAGTAATAGTGTCTCTTAACAGAAATAATATTGTAATTTGAAACAAACTTTTTATGTTTATGCTTAATTTAGTTAAAATCAATACCCCCAGTCTGATATTTAAAAAGAATTAAAACAAGTGGCTCTTGCAATTGTGATATACTTAGAATCCAGAAACATAAAGGTAGCATATCAGTCTAATTGGAAATGTTAGGGCAGTGTATAACACAGATGGCCATCATATTAATGTGGAAACAGCCAGAGATCTAAGTTAATTGCTGTTACTCTAGTAATTTTAATTGTCCCACAGATGCTAAGCATTGTTGCAAGCATTGAGTCTTTGATCCTAAGGAAAATAAGGGATTATGTTCTCTCAAGCCTCTGGTCATAAATTGTCATCATCTGATCATTGCTTAACCTTGTTTTGTGTGTTTCTACTTAAAGACACCTTATTTAATATGTAGTGTTTATTAGCTTTGAATTCATGGCCAGTAGCACTCAAGCCCAGATGAAGTTTATCCATTGTAAGTGACAGCATGGCCTTCTTGGACTTAGGGACACTGGGCAACACTTCACATTCAGGAGCCACTCACCAGCAGAAACAGTGAAGTTCATAGTACTAGGTAGACCACAAAATGCATACTTGTGGCTAGGATGTAGCTCAGTGGTAGAGTGTGCCTCACATATGCAAGACTCTAGGTTTGATCCCCAACATGGAAAGAGAAGGGAAAAGAAGATACACACTTGTATGAAGTATGAGCAAAGCATGTGATGTACATGTATCCAAAGGTCAGTGAAACCCATCCTTTTGTACAGGGAGTTCAGAAATGTATGTTAGTAATTAGAAAAAGCAAAGAGCACTTAAGAATGAGAGCTGAGAGCAGCAAGCAAAGCCTTTCCATATTTGGCCACAGCTGGCAACATGTTCTGTGGACAGTTCAATTTTTTCCTCTTCTGCCGATGTCTGTGAGCATCCGGGAAACCACCTTCAGTATTGTTCAGATTATATAGAGAGGGGTTCCAGTAAGGAAATTCCCAGTTAGAGAGCCTGCAAGTAAGAGGGAAGCCTGCCTTTTGACATGCATGTGTCATGTAAAATGTAATTGCTTCATCAGTATCCCTCTCACCTGCCCCCAGTTACTGAAGGATATTATTTTATATAGCAGTTAATTACTGAGAGCATAATTCATACTCACATGCATACTATTATAATTCTTAAAGTGAATATAGGGATTGAGGAAGATGGCTTAGTGGGTAAAGCATTTGCTGTGCCAGTGTGAGGACTGACTTTGAATCCCCAGTACCCATGTAAGAGCAGACAGGAGAGCATGCCATCTGTAATTCCGGTGCTTGTGTAGAGAGATGGGGAGCAGAGGAAGGAGAACCCTGGGGTCCCTAGAAGCTTGAGCTTCAGCCAGCCTGGCATACTCTGGGAAAAAAGGGTGCCATCTCAAACAAGGAAGGCCAGGACTGACACCCTGGTTGTCCTCTGACCTTCACACACACACCACCCGTACTCAGCAAGTACAAAGTTTTGTTAAAAGGACAATATATAAGTAAAGTGAGGTTTGTAAATTTTACATTGGGATTTCAGAAATTTGGTAAATTCAACTTTTAAAATAGTCTTTAGTATTTTGATTGTTTTTTTTTTTTTTTCAGTTCTCTTCAAGACTGATCAAATCATTATTTGGAAATTTATTTGTTTTTAAATGATTTATTGCATTGTTTTTAAAATAAGATCTCACTATATAAACCCTTGGAATTGCAGTTCTCCTGCCTTAACCCCCAGAGATATAGGATAACAGGTACACACCAACATATCTGACAGGTGTTTTTATTTTCTAGTTCTAATTGAATTAATAACTTATTTCCTGTGAGTGGTGACATTTGTCAAGTATTAGTTAATTAAAAATGGATACACTCCACAGTTCCACATATTTAGGCAAGTTAAGTACAAGCACATTGCAACATGGTACCACACTGCTCAACTGTTTCGAAAGCCGCTGTCCTCTCCTATGATTGTGGAGTTCCCATAGTTGTTTCAGGATAGTTCGAATGTAGTGCACATTTTACAAAGGCCTAACCTAACATCTAGAGCAAATGTATGCAGTTCATTGAAAACATTGCCCCACTGAGTCTAAGAAACTTTCACCAGGAAAAGAAAAAAAATCCCTGTGATTATAAGATGCTATTCATTGTAAGGTGTATTTTTCAGATATGAGTGAAAGTGTTTGTTTACAGTTATTAAAAGTGTGTTAAATGTTACTATATCCTGTCTTAGGGAGAAATTGTAGTTTTATGCCTAATCTGAATCCTGTCTGCTACTATTCATTGATTTTATTAGTTCTGACTATCAATGAATTATACATTTTATCTGTACATTAGTATAAGTCTTAGATTAGTTAAAATACTGAGCCCAGGACCTTAGTCCTGTCTTGTTATAGAAATGTAGAATCTGATTTTTATGCCTTTTGGGTTCTTTTACATAGTCTGCTTCAGAGTTTTGCTAGCCAGCTCAATCCAGACTCTATTGTAGATCTGGTAAATTCAACTTTTCAAAATAATGCTTGAGGGAGGGATAATGACCAACACACATAATCTCAGTACTTGGTGGGGGCCATGAGGAATGAGAGTTCAGGGTCATCCTTAGCTACATATCCATTCAAGGCCAGTCTAGGCTATGTGAACCCCCTACTCCCCAAGGTACTGGAATTCCATTGCTATAATTTAAGATACAATTATGTTCTGACATTGTTTTTCTGTCTATTCAGGTATATGGAGTGTTAAAAGTCAAAGCTAATTAAAATTAAAAGGTTGTTTCCTAAAAGTTACCTTTTATTTGCTTCTGCTTGCTTTATTGTTAAGTCCTAGTATAATTTCAGTTATGATAACAGGCTTCAAAATCTTAAATCTTTTCTAAAAATACCACCAACAAAATCAAACAAACAAAAACCTGTTTATTAAAATTTGAAATTGAAGTTTAATACTGTGAAGCAAAACTGGCTTGCCACTCTGAGCAGAGCCAAAAGTATCCAAGAAGCGAGCAGAAACAACAAGTAGTTGTGGGAGGCCTTTGAGATGGCAACATTGGAACTAACAAAGGAAACAAGTGGCTTGAAGAACAGGACAAGATTTAAACAGTCTGCAAACTGGTCACCCAAGGGGAAGGGCACGGAAACCAGCAAGTTTAGCTACCACAGCAGATCTGCCATGTCCTGGTACCCCGGTTTTATCTGGAATTTCTGACAGAAAGTGTCCTATAGTTGAGATGATATTTTAACTGAATCCAGGTTTGTTCCTTGGTTTTTATATTCTGCCACTAACATTAATTCCACTGAAACCTTATTAATGCTAATTTCCATGCCCATTGTCTCTATTGACAGTTTCTTCATTTGCTTTCTACCTAAGAATTCTTAGCAATTTTGAGCTTGTTTTACAGTCTTAATTTTAGTGCGCCCACCCCTCCTTTAATTTCAAGATAGGCTTTCTTGGATTTGAATTTGAGCATTTCTAAAGATTTTTTTCCCTCCTAATTTTGTACTGAGGAAATGAAGTTTAGTACAGCCTTAAATATATAAGACTTTCAATTCCATTTACAAGAGAACATGATAAATGGAGACAGACAAGAAAAAGTTGGGATTCAGACTTGTTATAAATGTAGGTCAGGTAAATTCAACTTTCATGTGTCATGTGCTTTTGTTAATCTGAAGAACTCGGAGTTGCTGTACAAAGGATGTAAACAATTCATACAAGTAAAGTAAGCATTTGTGTTAGATAATAAGTGATAAGTACAAAACAGCTTTTAAACACTACTTTTTTTGTTTGTTTCAGTTTTTCGAGACAGGGTTTCTCTAGTTTTGGTGCCTGTCCTGGAACTCACTCTGTAGCCCAGGCTGGCCTCAAATTCACAGAGATCTGCCTGACTTTGCCTCCCGAGTGCAGGGATTAAAGGGGTGCTCCATCACTGCCTGGCTAAACACTACTTTATACTCAGTAAGTTAGAAAAGTACAAATACCCAGTCTTAGAAATGTTTTGGTAATGATTGGTGACATTATAAATGGTCGGGGTTTTTTTATTTGTTGGTTGGTTTGGGGGTTTTTTTTGGCAGCAGGGCGGAGTGGGGGGCGGGGAGGATTGTTTTGTTTTGTTTTGAGACAGGGTTTCTCTGTGTAGCTTTGGCTCTCCTGGAACTCTCTTTGTAAACCAGGTTGGCCTTAAACTCAGATCCACCTGCCACTGCCTCCCAAGTGCTGGGATTAAAAGGCATATGCTGCCACCACCTGACATAAGTGATCTTAAAAAAAAATTTTTTTTTTTTAAACTTTTTAGATGCCAAATACCTAGAATTGTGACTATTTAGAAGGCTGACATAGGAGGGTCACTTGAATCTGTCAGTTTAAGACTAATGTGAATAGCACAGTAAGAACCCATCTAAAAGCCAGGGTGGTGGTGGCACACGCATTTAATCCCAGCACTCGAAGGCGGATCTCTGTGAGTTCGAGGCCAGCCTGGGCTACAGAGCAAGATCCAGGACAGGCTCCAAAGCTTGTCTACAAAAACAAAAACAAAACAAACAAACAAAAAGAACCCATCTAAAGAGAAAAAGACTATTTTAGCAAATTATCCTAAAATCATCAGCAAGTAGAATGTATGAAAATATATGTTTTTGTCTGTTGTAAATAAGAAAGTGTTAGATTACATCTAAATACCTAACAGCTAGCTTGCATCAAATATTACTCAGTTATTAAAGGCAAAAAAATAGCTTATTATTATAACTATATATAGTTTAAATATATTAGTATATATGTGTTTTAAAATATATATTACACTAATTTGTATTTATATATTATTTAATATATAGAATGAGAAGAAAATGCAAAAATCCAAATTATTAATGGCTTAGGGTACTGGGATTATACTTACTAATTTTATTCTAAAACTTAAGAAATGTAATTTCCTCTTATATTCTATATTTTTCTTTATATCATCCTACAAAACAAATTTACAGGGTGTTGGTATCTCTTCCCTCAGATTAGATACACCCTTTAAACGCCAAATATCCATCTAAATTGTATCTTTCTTTAAAAAAAAATGTGTGAGAGTATTTGTGTGTGTGTGAGAGAGAGTGTGTGTGTGAGAGAGAGAGTGCATACCCACGCTTGAGCATGCATGTGCAAATATCACAGTTTCCAGGAGCTCATTCTTGCCTTCCACCTTTCTGAAGTACACGGTCAGTTACTCTTGCTTCTACAGGCTCATTTAGGAGATTCTCCTGTCTACATCTCTTGTCTTAACGTAATGCTGGGATTACAGATACCTGCCTCTGTCTCTTTACATAGGTTCCGGCATTGAATTCATGTAGCTAGGCTCAAGAGGGCTAGTGTTTTTACCTACTGAACCATTTCCTTGCCTCCTCCTTTCTCTTTCTACCCATGTGGGATGACGTTACATTTAGTTCAGCATTGTTAATGTCATTTAGGAATACCTTGTTTTGTTTTGAGATTAGAAAGCACCCAGCTAAATTGTTAATGTTTTTTTAAAAATACTTTTTAAATATATTTAATCATAATTCACATCCAGAAAACTGTATTAAATGTAAATTTAGAGCTTAAGAAAGTACTGTACAGCCGGGCGGTGGTGGCGCACACCTTTAATCCCAGCACTTGGGAGGCAGAGACAGGTGGATCTTTGTGAGTTCGAGGCCAGCCTGGTCTACAGAGTGAGATCCAGGAAAGGCACAAAGCTACACAGAGAAACCCTGTCTCGAAAAAACAAAACAAACAAAAAAAGAAAGAAAGTACTGTACATACCAGCAGTAATCACCACGCAAGCTTTTGATCCCAGCGCTCAGGAGTCAGAAGCAGGCAGATCTTGTGAGTTTGAGGCCAGCCTGGTCCACAGAGCTAGTTCCAGGACAGCTCCCATGAAAAGGACACAGTAGTGTGTGTCTATTTTCATGGTGTTGAGGTGGAAGTGGGATGGATTCCTTGAGCTTGCTCTTCAAGCGTAAATCAATTATTTTTCATTATTAGTAATCAGAAGCTACTCAATTGTTTTTTGTCTTAAATTTTTATAATTAAATTTATATTAGATTTATTTTTGTTTTTCAAGTGTATGGGTGTTTTGTCTGAATATTTATCTGTGCCACGTGTATGCCTGATGTCTTTGGAGGTCAGAAGAGGGGTTGAATCCCCTGAAACTGAAGTTACAGTTGAGCTGCCATGCTAGGAATAGAACCTGGACCCTCTGGAAGAGCAGAAAGTCATCTCTCCAGTCCCTCTGTGTAGCAGGCTTTGTTGGACTGCCAACCACCTCCCAAATAAGACACGGAGACTTATTATCAATTATGAATGCTCAGCCTTATCTTAGGCTTGTTCCACTAGTTCTTTTAACTTAATTTAACCTGTTTTTCTTCATCTACATTTTGCCTCAGGGTTTTGTTTTTTTTTTTTTTTTTTTAACCTTTCCTTCTGTATGGCCTACTTTTTTCTTGCTTCCTCTGAGACTGGCTAACTGGCCCAGGGCATCTCTTTTTCTCCCTCCTCTCTCTCCTGAGCCTAGATTCCTCTTTCTACTTATTCTCTCTGCCCTCCAGCCCTGCCTATCCCTCTACTGCCTAGCCATTGGCTGTACAGCTTTTTATTAGACTGATGAGGTGCCTTAGGCAGGCAAGGTAAAACAAGTACAATACATCTTTACATAATTATCAAATACAGCATAAACAAATTTAACACACCTGTACATAGTTAAAGTAATATTCCACAACTCTGTCTTAATTCTTTAAAAGTATGTTTCTTTTCACTGTGAGCTTCCTTGGAATGTGTCCATGGACAGACTGGATTATTTGCTTCCTAAGTAAATAATATTTAATGATTTTTAAACAAATTTGTAGGTGGTAGATCTATTTAGCAAAATAAAATTTCTGGAAATGCAGGTTTACCTAGAAATAGAAAGCCAGCGTAATTGCTTCCAAAGTATTTGTTCTTGAACTGGAGATGGCTCAGGGTGAAAGCAGTGGCCATGCAACCCTGACAGCCTGAGTTTCCCAAGTTTCGCCCCTTAAGCCCACATCAAAGATGGAAGGAGTGGACTGGCTTCTTCAGCTTGTCCTCTGACCCCTCACTTTGCCCCCCCCCCATTACATATGCACACAGTAATAATGATACAGTTCTTTTTGTTGTTGTTTTCAAGACAGGGTTTCTCTGTATAGCTCTCGCTGTCCTGGAAATCACTCTGTAGACCAGGCTGGCCTCGAACTCAGAAGATCCTCCTGCCTCTGCCTCCCGAGTGCTGGGATTAAACACTTGTGCCAGATACTCAGCTCCAGCCAAATATTTTTGAAAATTGAGTCCTGTTATAGGACAAGAGTGGATGAAACTGAGCACGAACACAATTGACACTTCCTTTCTAAACTCATTCTCTACTATCTTGTTTTTAGAATTCTCAACCAAAGATTTTAGATTTTAAAATCATAAACATTATTTTTATTTTCTGTGTGTGTTTGCTTCCATGTATGTGTACTGTATGCATTCCCTTGGAGGTTTTCTTTGTTAAAAATTTTAGCCAGGGAGTAGTGCATGCCTTTAATCTCTGTACTTGGGAGGCAGAGGCAGGTAGATCTCTGTGAGTTGGAGGCCAGCCTGGTCTACAGAGTGAGATCCAGGACAGGCACCAAAGCTACACAGAGAAACCCTGTCTTGAAAAACAACAACAACAACAAAAAAAAAAGAAAATGAAAAAAATTTTATAGCAGGGTATGGTGTCATAAGTCTCTTATTCCAGCAAAGGCAGACAGCTGTCTGTGAGCTGAAGGCCAAACGGCTATACATAGCAAGTTCCAGGTTAGCCACTCCTACATAATGAGACCTTGTATCCAAATGCACATACACTCATGTGTATATATGTGTGGTGTATGTATATAAGCACTTAACTACTCAGATAGGACAGTGAGGAGGCTTTTATTTCAGTTGTTACTTTTTATTTCTGTAAGCCAGTTAAAGACTAAGTATGCCATAGTATAATAGTATTTGGAGTGCCTGATATAAATTATGAAACTTTATTTTTAATATGGACACTAAATGCTTCTTTTTCCTTTTTAATTTCAGTAAAAAGTCCCAGAAGTGGGATGAAATGAACATCCTGGCAACATATCATCCAGCTGACAAAGACTATGGTTTGATGAAAATAGATGAGCCAAACACTCCTTACCACAAGTAATGTGACATAGATATTCTTTCTTTCCTGCTTGTTTCCGTTTGCCTTGATACAATTTCTAAATAACAGAAACTGTAAATCTGTTTTAGTTGTTGCCAGAGTGCTAGCTAATGGTCTGCCTGAATACATTTTTGTTAATAATGTGTAACTGCACACTGTTGTTGTAGTAATGAATATTATTGCACCTGGATGGTGGTTGGATGCTAACACACACACATTAGTGAGTGTTGTCTTCTCTTTTCATTACTGTTACTTATGTGGCCCTGGAGCTGGAGAGGTGGTGTGAGCGACTTGATATGAGTACTGAGACTTAATCTCAGGTCCTGGTGAGCAGCAAATGCTTTTGACTGCTGACCCATCTCTCCCTCCAGCACCAAAGTTTGTCCTCTTTGAAAGGAAGATGAGATTGGAGGGTTTTTTGCTCCCCAAATAGAAATCAGAGGTTTTCTTTGCAAACAAGGGAAAACTACATGGAAGACAGATAGTTTTGTATAAGTCTCAGAATTTTTATTTTTTATTTATTTTGAGATATGATCATACATTATATTTCAGGCTGGCCTGGAATTTACCATATATCTAAAGCTGACACTGAAGTCAGAGTAGTCCTCCTGCATCAGCCTCTTGAATGCTGAGATTACAGGGGGTGAACCACCAGGTCCAGTTAGAATTTTAAAATATAATTGTAAAGTGATATTGTATAGCAGTATCCAAAAAGAGACAAAAATAATGCAATAATAAGCATTATGAGGCAATACAGATTCTAAATAAGTAGGACATTTAATTAAGATTATGGCTTAATCTGTATTGTAAAATAAAGATTTCCAGGAATAAAATATTTTATCAAAGTAAAACCACATAAATCTCTAAGTTGTGTGCTTTTATTCTAACTGTATTGATAGAGATTCATGTAACCTAGGCTAGCTTTGAACTTGCTATGTAGCCGAGGAAGATTTTGATTTTCTAGTTCTCCTGCCTGTATCCATAGTAGTGGAATTACAGGACTATGCCCAGTTTATGTGTTACCACGGATTAAACTCAGGGCTTTGTGAACGTCAGATAAGAGTTACATCAACAACAACAAAAAATGTTATCTTTTAAATCAACAGGACTCAGGGAGATAGTGTGAAGCTAACAAAAACAGTACGAATACACATAAACATGTTAAAGTCTGTGACAGAAAGAAACAGTGAAACAGAAGATACAGATAATAAAACTAAATAGTAATGAGATTTGAGGAAAGGAGAATGTGGAAGTTTGTGCCCCTTCTCCTCTTAATTACAGGGTATTCTTTAAATTATATCTCAAACCCTTTATCAAACCAGACTCCAAAGTCGGGATTTTCTTCCTTCTCAATCAAGCTAGTAGCCACCCCTCACTTTTGTTAATAGAGGATAATTGTCCTAAACTCAGATCAGACATAACTTGGGGGGTGGGGATAGGGGAGTTGTTTTCTGTTTTTGTTTCCTGTTTCCGGGTAACATTTAAAATGTGATGAATGTGAATGGTAGACGTTTGATGTTGCATTTCACTTTGTTTGTCCTCCCCCGTATATCCTTTTGTCGAGCTGCAGAAAGGTAGCTCGGTCACTAACAGGCTTGGTGTGCATCGAGTGCTTAGTTAGCTTTGTCAGTTCAGCACTCCGTGTTACCGCTACTTCCATGAGATTGGTTGGGTTGTTTTTTTTTTTGTTGTTTGTTTGTTTGTTTGTTTTTGGTTTTTCGAGACAGGGTTTCTCTGTGTAGCTTTGCTCCTTTCCTGGAACTCACTTGGTAGACCAGGCTGGCCTCGAACTCACAGAGATCCACCTGGCTCTGCCTCCCGAGTGCTGGGATTAAAGGCGTGCGCCACCACCGCCTGGCTGAGATTGGTTTTTATCTTAGATATGCACAATTCATTTGTAACCTAGAATTTTCTGTTGAACATTGCTATATGTCAACAAAGTATATTTCTTTATCCTACTCTACTTAAATCCTAAATGTTCATGGGTTTATTTTACGTTTCCTTAGATAAATATATAAACCAGCAGGTTTTTATTAATTAGACCTTTAGGGTCTGTGTAAGTTTGCTTTCTCGTTGCTGTGACCAAGTACCTGGCAGAAAAAAACTTGAGAGGAAGGATTTCCATATCTCTTGATTCATGGTTTCAAAGAGTCATAGTGTCTGTCCATGGTTGCTTGACCCCATGCACTCTGGCTAGAACATCACAGAGGGAATGTGTGGTAGAGAATTTTAAAAACATTACTGTGTTTTTTGAGAATTCCATATAATGTATTTCGATCATATTCTTTACCCCCCCTTAATTTCTTCCAGATCCTCCCACTTCCCTACTCACCAACTTCATGTTCTTTCTTTAAAAAAAAAAAAAAGAAAAAAAAAGAACAATGACATCCAGTGACCTTTTTCCTCAACTAGGTCCTACCTCCTGCCTTGTACAAATTTCTAATAATGCCATCCTGAATCTTTCAAGGGATTAATCTGTCATTTGATCAGAGCCTTCATGATCTGATATTCTCTGGGAATATAATCACAAACATACCTAGAGCTGTGCTTTACTAATTCCCTGGGCATTTTGTTTTGTTTTTCTCCCTTAGATTCGTTCATATATCAGCTATTCAGTGAGACAATTGAAGGAATAGGAACAAGCGACAGATGAGCCCACTAAAAATCTCAGAGTAGAAGCTTGTGTGCACTGGGCACTCTTGATTCTGTCACACTGTACAAGAGGGATTAATCCTGCTCTGGAAGCTCTTTGGGAGGTTTTCCACAAAGGAGAGGCCACTTGGCTCTGTTTCTATGCATTTCTTAATCCAGTGAAGTAGGCAGTCAGAATTAACCACCAACAGGATCTGTTTATTTTTCCTAGTCTTACATCTGTGTAGACCATTTCTTCCTTAATGGTGAGATATAAACACAAATTCTAAAATGAGCTCAGCATTTTCAGTGCCTAATGGTAATTCCAGTAATCACAAGTTTAAGACCAGCTGGGCTACACAGCAAGAATGTTCCCTCTCAAAATACTAAAACCAACAAATGGGTTATTTTGCATTATTTGTCCATTGGCCTCATTGGATAGAAAAATTGACATTTTTTTTAGGGTGTTTTTCCCCCCAGATAATTTGAGTCTTCAGTATTTTATGTTTGCTTTGTTCTTTTCTTATTAAGCTTACTTTATCATTTTTTATTCCTGAGGATTGAACTAGGGCCTTATACCTGTCTGGCAAAGACTACCACTGAGTTATATTCCCAGCCCAGTGCTGTCTCTAACTACATGTATTGAGTAGAAACTATTTTAAAGGTAACAACAAACTTCTAAACAAGTTATTATTTTTAATTAAATAAAATTGTGTTTTCAATCTTGGTTTTCTAGCTATACAATTTTATTTCATGTATCAGTTTTAATAATGTGCTTATTAATAGAAACATGCTTGTCATCCTAGTATGATAGGTGATGATGAAGATGCCTTTAGCGATTCGGAAGGCAACGAAGTTATGACTCCAGATATCTTAGCTAAGAAGTAAGTACTAAAGCATTTCCTAGAGGGAGTTTTAATTGTGCTAAGTCAAAGACATTTGTTGTGTCCTGCTTGTACATTTGTAAATGAAAGGTTAAACTTACCTATGTTTGGGGGTTTACTTGACATTGAACCCAGGGCTAAGTGTTAAATACTTGCGGAGTAAGATTCCTGGCCCCTAACTAGATTTTTATAGCAATTATTACAGTCTTGTTTCTTAATTAATATCAGTCTAAGCAGGAGGTGGCAAGGTTAGAATGCCTGAACCAGGGGATACTTCCGTCTGTTTTTCTCTTGTGGTGATGTTTTTAAACACCCTGACACCCACATGGTAAAGATGTGAGAAAGGCAAAAATAAGTCCCTGTTGTGCACTGATCTCTAACAGCCACTCTGCTGTCCTTGTTGCTTTCTCGTCTCTACATCCATCCTACAACCTCTTGTTTTCTTCATCACTTACAGCTAGAATATTTGTTGATTATTTTGGGTTAATTTCGTGATAAGTTGAATGAGACGTTTAAATAGTACAAGAACGTCACAGTTACTAATTTCTTCTCTTCATAAATATTGTGTAGATTAGCTGCTGCTGAAGGCTCGGAGCCAAAGTATCGGACTCGGGAACAGGATAGCAGTGGAGAGGAAGATAATGACCTCTCCCCTGAAGAGCGAGGTAGGTTATTCCTTCAGCTGCCTTCAGCATGGTGCTAATAATTTTATTTATTTATTTATCTTTTTATTTTATTTTGTTTTTTGAGACACAGTTTCTCAGTGTAGCCTTGACTGTCCTGGAACTCACTCTGTAGACCAGGCTGGCTTCAAATTCACAGAGATCCACCTGCCTCTGCCTCCTGAGTGCTAGGATTAAAGGTGTGTGCCACCACTGCTCAGCAAAGCTAATAAGTTTTGTTAAAATAAACCTGTTTGAAAGATTGGAAGATTACTTTCATATTTGGGAAGTGGTGGGCAGGGAATAGAAAGCAATAGAAAAAGAATCTGTAATTCAGATTCTACATATGTGAGTTTTTCATATAATAGTTTTCCCCCCTGATTAGAAGAAGTTGGAAGAAATACTACAATTTTTCAAATACTTGCAAATATTCTTTTCTTTGTATTTTTTTAGTGCCCGATAAAAAGAAGGTATTTACTAACTACTTATGAAACTAATGCTTTTAGCGTCATTGAGTATTTGAATGATCTTCAGGTGGATAGATTGCCTTGTTGTTTGTGCTTTTTCTGTTTTAAGATAGTAATGCAGGCCTGGGGATATAGTTCATTTGGGAGAGTGCTTAACTAGCGTGCACAGAGTCCTGAGTTTGAGCCCCGGCATCAAATAAACTGTGTTGTCTGTAATCACAATACTAGAGAGGTAAAGGCAGGAAGATCAAAATAAATAAATAAATAAATAAATAAATAAATAAATAAATAAATAAATAAATAAATAAATAAAAGACAGTGAAATTGATGCAGAAAACCAAGATGATAAACTATAGAATGAAAATCTGTATAGGTCTCGTGAAGCACAGAGTAGTGATGTCTTAGAAGAGAAGCTGGAGAAGCCCCCATTGCAGAATGGAAGAGGTTCTTGTGCTCCAGACAGAACATGCCTAGTTAAGGCATTACTGCCTTTGTGTGTTTCTGTTTGCATGGAACACTGGTCCGATAAGAATATGTTTTATCTTGCTGTTTTTTATACTTTTTGAGCCATGTGAATGCATCATCCTTTCAAGATAAAATTGGGCTGGAGAGATGGCTCAGTGTTAAGAGTGTGTACTGCTTTTCCAGGGGACCCGAGTTCAGATCTCAGCACCCATGTCAGATGGGTTACAACTGCTGTTAACTGCAGCCTTGGGCACACAAATCCAATTTAAAAAATAATTTTTTTTAGTTTTTCAAGACAGGATTTCTCTGTATAACTCTGGCTGTCCTGGAACTCACTCTGTAAACCAGGCTGGCCTCAGACTCAGAGATCCTCCTGCCTGTTAACTAGGATTAAAGGTGTGTGCCACCAACACCTAGCTAAAATATAAATATTTAAAATAATATAAAATACCTAGTTGGCCATTGGTGCCTGCAGGTTCAACACCTGCAGATTTAACCAACGATGATTCAGAAACATTTGAGGGAAGAAAAATGAGCCCATATTGAACAAGGATAGACATGTCTTTCTTGTCATTATTCCCTAACAATATAGCACAGCAACTGTTTACATAGCATTTAACCTAGAATGACTGAACATAGAAAGTATGTGTGAAGGTTATGTGCAAATATTATACCATTGTACAGGAAGCATTTGAACATCCATAGATTCTGGTGTCCTTAGGTGTCCAGGATCCAATCCTTCAAGTACTGAGGAACAACTTATACCCATTCTTTCTTTTTGGGGGGGTTGCGGGGCTTCAAGACAGGATTTTCACCCTGACTGTCCTGGACCTCACTCTGTAGACCAGGCTGGTCTGGCGTGCCACCATCGCCCTGTGTGTCCTGTTCTCTTTGAAAAGAAAATAATCCAAAGCTGGAGCTGTGGTTCGCTGGTCGAGCTCTTGGGTAGCACCAGTGAAGCCTGTTTGGCGGACTCTCAGTGTTAACGCGAATCTGACAATAAATAGCACCATGGGCCCTTGAAGAGATTTCAAACAAAAATTCTTTCTGGGTTTTTCCATATTATTCTCCCAAAACTTTTATCTATTAAGGATGGGGGTTCTATTAACCTACATTATCAGTCTCTTTAAGAGTAATTATCCATCAGTTTGTAATTCCATGAGTCAACCTGCAGGGGGTACCATTTGACCTATTGATATAATTTTATTAAGTGATTTCCTACTGGTGGAATTACTAAATTATAGATGTTTTTCACTGTTAATAATTACATGTCTGAAAAATACTTTGAATTTATAGATCTTTTTGTTTGTTTTTTGAGACAAGGTCTTACCCAGTAGCGTAGTCTGGCCTTGAACTTACAGTAATCCTCTGTCTGGGCCTCTCCAATACTGGGCTTGTAGCTGACAATAAACACTACTTTTTACACACATATTTGCTATTTTATGTGTATGTGTGGGCACTTGAGCCAGCACATGAGAATGTCAGAAGACAGCTCTCCATCCTGTGGGATCTGGGGCTTGAATTCAGGTCATTAGACTTGGCAGCAAGCACCTTCACCTGCTGAGCCATTTAACCAGCCCAGATATCTTTTTTATTGTTGTTGTTTTGTTTTGTTTTGAAGACAGGATCTCACTAGGTAGCCCTGGCTGTCCTGGAACTCGCTCTTTAGACCAGGCTGGCCTCAAAACTCACAGAGATCTGCCTGCCTCTGCCTCCTGAGTGCTGGGATCAAAGTGCACCACTACACTTGACTAGCCCCAGATATTCTTAAGATAAATAAATCTAATGTATAACACAGTAATTCAGATTATTAGCTGTGGAGTCTGAGAAATACAATTTTATGCTCCAAGTCTGATACTTGTTTAAGTTGCCTAATTTCCCAGAGCCTCTAGTTCTTATTTCCTAAATTGGGAAATATTTTAAAAAAATTTTTTTTTAGTTGTGTGTTTGGCAGTATATGCCTATGGTACTAGAGACTCAAGAGGCTAGGGCATGATGATCTATTGAGCCCTTAAGTTCAGGACCAACTTGGGAAATTTAGTAAGACACCCCCCCTTCCCCATCTCAAACAAACAAACTTTAAGTTGTTGGTGATTCTTAAATGAAATGAAGTATTTAATGGACTTAACACTGGTCGTTTTATATTCTAGTTAGTCAGTAAATAATAACTCTTAATAACGTGAAATACACAAGATAGTCATAAAAGTAGATATAAAAACATAATAGCCTTGTTGAGTTCATATAGTTCATAAGACCTAAATGTGCTTTTATTTTTTGCATTATATTGCTTTGCCTTGTAGAACTGCAAAACTAATATTAATAATCAAATGAGAATTAAGGGATTCAGTCCCCAGTACTGCATAAACTGGCCATGGTGGCATAGGCCTGTAATGCCCAGCTGTAGGGAGGTAGAGGAAAGAGGATCAGAAGCTCAAGGTCATCTTTGCTTCCTCATGTATTTGAGGCCAGCCTGTCAAATAAAGAAAAAAAAATAAAGGATTGAGATCACTTATGTTAGCTTTCTGTGAAGTGAGATTTTATAGATTGTGTGTGCATATGGGTGTCTGGGGAGAATGTCACTCTTCAGGAGCTGACCACCTTATTTTTTGAGAGGATTTCTTACTGGGACTGGGACTCACTAATTAAGCTGAGCCATATGACCAGATTCTGCCTATCATAGCCACCCAGAACTAGGATTACGAATGTGCAACACCATGCCTAGTTTATTTGGGTGCTGGGGATCAACTCCTGCTTCTTTGGTGAACATTTTACCTATTCACGTGACTTCTCAGTTCCTATTTTACAGAGGCTTTTGTTTGTTTTTAATGTGTTTTGCCTATATTTGTGTATGTGCACCATGTAGAAGGCATTGGGTCCACTGGAAATGGATTACAGACAGTTGTGAACCACCGTGTGGGCTCTGCAAGAATAGTAAAAACCAAGATATCCCTCCAGCCCTGTACAGATTTTTAAATTATATAACTCAGAATAACAAATTTATTTGACTGTATACAGTTCACAAATAAAAATACTACAATATCAACGCCTAGGAATAGCAACCTAGGAATTAAACCTATAAGCATTATGGAAGCTGAGAGTGGTGGTGAACCTTTAATTCACAGTACTAGGGATAGTCCCAACACTTGGGAGGCAGAAGCAGACTGATCACTATAAGTTCAAGGCCATGCTGGTCCAAATAGAGTTCTAGGCCTGCCAGGGCCACATAATGAGAGACTTTGTCTCAAAAAAACCAGGCCAAGCAAAATAGCACTATGAAACGTTCTCTTACTGGTCACTCGCTGTTAAGACTGTTTGCCTGATATACTTGAGCCAGAAGTCAATCCCCAGTACTACTACAGAGGTGGGGGAGGACAATTTTATTTTTAGTGTGAATATGAAAAAGTAGGCTACTCATATTCTCTGGATGGTCTGAGAACCATTTCAGGCATTTAAACGTATTACCAGTGCCTACTTAGTATATATGTACATAAAATTACAGAAGTAAAAATATCACAACACATTACTTGCCTTTAATGTTTGATGATCATTATAACTTACATATTTCATCTTTTTAAATATTTTGTGTCTTATAAAGAGTAATGCATTTGTAAAACAGATTTATATTGAGAAAATAATAGAATACACAAAAAACTATATAAATTATATCATAAACAAGTTGACAAAATAGTGAGAAATCAGAAGCCTTTGGCTTAGAGTAGATAATTATATCTCACTACCTTGAAACTAAATTTTTCCAAAGTTGAAATGATCACTGAGTCTGTCCTGGATAACCTTGGATATATGATCATGTTAACAACACAGAAAGTGCAGAAACAAACTTACCTTAAATGTGATTCATTTTTGCAAAAATATATTTTAAAGTCTAGCTAAAAAATGTTAGTAATCTCTGGGCGTCTTGCTTTGTTTTAGTGTGGTCTAAGGATTAAATTAATGAATACTAGGCAAGAAACCTTGCCACCTCTGTCTCCTGTTTTTGAATGATAAAATTGGAGGTAATTTTCTTTTAAAATTTCTGAGTATGAGCCGGGCGGTGGTGGCTCACACCTTTAATCCCAGCATTTAGGAGGAAGAGGCAGGTGGATCTTTTAAGTTCGAGGCCAGCCTGGTCTACAGAGCAAGATCCAAGAAAGGCGCAAAGCTACACAGAGAAACCCTGTCTCAGAAAACAAAAAAATAAAAAAAATAAATAAAATTTTTGAGTATGTATTACTTTGATGAGTAAAGGTGTGGGTGAGTATTAGCTTTGTCTTCACATCATCTGGATACTTAAAGATGTCTAACTGTTCTGGTAAATAAATGCCTGCATACCTAACCTAGCCACTTAGAAAGCAGAGATAGGACCAATGGGCCTGTGGTTTCCAGATCAATCTGAGCAATGTGGAGATGACCCCCATCTCAAAAGTGGTTTGTTGGTTTGGGGTTTTTTTGGGATGGTGGTGGTGGTGGTGGTGGTGGTGGTTGTCTTTGAGATACGGTTTCTTTGTGTAGCCCTGGCTGTCCTGAAACTATTCACTCTGTAGATCAAACTAGCCTTGAACTCTGATCTGTCTGCCTCTGCCTCCCGAGTCCTGGGATTAAAGGTGTTATGCCACCACCAACTGGCTCAGAAGTATTTTATAAATAGAGAAAAAGAAATAATGATCTGACAAGATCTTGGTAATAACACTTGGGAGGAATTGGATCATAAGAATTTTGAATATTCTTATTCTGGTGATAGCTGTGCCATTTTGAGATTAAAATCATTGTTAAAGCAAGGATGATGGAATTTTAAGTATTTTCATTAACAGCTTTATTAATTCATTTTAAAGTTACTTTTATGTGTATGAGTATTTGCCTGCATTTTATATGTGTACTACATGTGTGTCTGGTGCCCAAAGAGGCCAGGAGAGGGCACTGGCTCCCCTGGAACTGTGAAGTTACTGATGGTGTGAGCGCACATGGTGGGTACTGGGGACTGAACCTGTCCTCTGTAAGAGGGAGCAAATGCTTCTGACCATGGAGTCATCTCTCCAGCCCCTTGAGCTATTTTTTATATTTGTGTTTCAGTGTATATGTATGCATGTGCGTGCTATGTTTGACTTTTTATATGGGTGCTTTAGTTCAAATCTTATTTCTTTTTTTTCTTCATGAACAGTTCAGTGAAATTCTGTTAGTAAAATGTGGCAGTTGAGTTGAATTGCCACTAATTATGTTTCCAAAGTCATAGGAGTTTTTTTAAACAGATAAGGACTATAAAAGGATTTTTTGCTTAGTGAAAGTAGAAGTCATGGGAGTGAGGGAAAAAGATGGCGGAGACAAGCAGACGCAGGTAGGCCTGTGGCAGCGGCCTGCGGAGGTAGACGGGTCCGGCGGCAGCGGCCGACAGGGACATTTATGCCCAGCAGTAGCTGGCGGAGACATTCAGGCCCAGCGGTGGTCCACAGAGGTGGACAGGCCCTGCGGTGGAGATAAGCAGACAGAGGTGGACGGGCCCGGCGGTGGCGGCGACGACGGCCGACAGAGACATTCAGGCCCGGCGGCGGCCTACAGAAGGCGACAGGCGGAAGTAGGTCGGCGACTCGCGGAGGTGGAAGGGCCCGGTGGCAGTGGCCGACAGGGACATACTGGCCCAGCGGCAACCGGCAGAGACATACAGGCCCGGTGGCAGTTCGCAGAGGTGGATGGGCCCGGCAGCAGTGACAAGCAGAGGTAGGTAGGCCCACAGTGGCTGCCGGCAGAG